GGGAAAAACCAGGTGGTCTGTCTCCCCACGGCCGCCCTGCCAGGCCCCCGCCCGCCCTCCGCTCACCTGCGAGTCAGTCCCCAGTGGGTGTCGGGAGATGAATCGGCCGCTCGGGGACCTCCACCTTCCTCCCTCTCCCTGGGCCTCCCTTCACCAGCCGGATGCCAGGAGGAGGCGGGAGGGCTCCCCGAGGCAGGTGTATGTGGGTGATAGGATGGGAGGGGAGAGTGGCTGGGGCTCAGGAAGGGAGGTGTTATTAGATCCCATGCCAGTGCCCGGGGGCTGCGGCCAGAAGCCCCTTCTCTCGTGGTAACAGAGCATCTGAGCGGGGCCGCCCTGTGACAGACGGCCGCTCCTGACCCAGAGCGCGCCTGCATGGGACCCTTGTCATTGGAGAAAGGAGGGGCTCCCTGGTGTTTCCGTGGTGCGCCCCTGTTGTTGGCTGTGCCATGGGCGCCTGGCATCTCATGGGCCCCAGTGACCCCTCCCAGCTCCCCATGCTCCGTGGTTTGGGAGTTCCCTGTGGACGCCCATCCACCCGAGCTCGCGGGGAAGGGGGTTCCCGTCCTGGAGGGGCTGGCTCCGGCCAGCTGCTGTTTTGCAGGGGGTCGGGGGGAGCTACCATCCTTGGGGAGCTAGGCCAGTTTCCCCAGCTGTGGCTTCTGGCCCCCCATCTCTGTGTGTCAGGAGGGGGCTCCTGCCCTGTGGCTGCTGTGGAGACATGCGCATTCCTGGAGTGTTCGTCAGTGCTGCGGGAGGGGGGGGGGCAGGAAGACGCTGGTGGTGGCCCAGGCAACCCCCTCAGTGTCTGGTCCTTCCCTCAAGGTGGGGGGCCCAGGCTGCCGCCCTCTGTCGAGTACAGGAGGCCACTTGTGTCAGGAGCCGACCGTGTGCCCGCCCTCCCTGCTGGGCTGCTGCAGCGTCGGGGGTGGCAGAGCCCTCCGGGTGGAGAGAAGTGAAAGCAAGTCGGGGAGAAAGACGTTGGCCTGAGGAGTGAGGGGGAGGACAGGTCCTTGTCAGGGAACGCCCGCCAGCCGGGCCGGACGCGGCGTCTTCGGGAAGCCGCCAGGCGGATGCGACTCAGGTGGCGCTCGGGAGGCCTCTGCGTGGGGGCGGCTGAGAGCTGGCTGGGCCCTTGGGTGCTGCGGGGTCGGGATGGGGGGTGGGCCTGGCGATGGCATGGCCGTGGGAACTCTCCTGGGGTCTGTGTCCTGGGCAGAGGCCAGGGAACAGCCTTGAGGAGGAGCTGAGTTCAAGGCCCCGCAGGCCGGCCTGTGGGCGTGGGCGGCGGCCTGGGTCCCTGAAGGTGAATGGAGTGGCTAAGGCACCACCCACGCCCGGTGTGGGCAGCCCCATCCCTGCTTGGAGCTGGTGAACTTGAGAACGTCCAGGCAGGCCACCCAGGCTGGCCGCTCCGACCGTGGGCTCCTGCAGACAGGGACGGGGTGGGGGGAGGCAGTGGAGGGAGCGAGGTTCCCTAATCAGAGACCTTGGGTGCCTGCACGTGGCCGTGGCTGGTGCGCAGGGGCTGGCGGGGCCGCGGGGCCGTAACTCACCCCAGCGACAGTCGCTCCGTGGGCTGTGTGTGGCGTTGAGTTATAACGGGGCTGGGATTGTGCTTGGCCCTGTGATTAAGCCCTGGGGCGAGCGGTGATAGGAGGTGGCTGGCCTGAAAGACCTAGGAGCAGCCCCAGAAGTCCTGCCGCGGCCGCCGACGCCGTGCTGCGGCTCCCCGACATTGTCCTCTGTGGTCCTCCCGACACCCCTGCACCCCGTTCCACAGTGGGAGAAACTGAGGCCAGGGAGCCAGTGGCCTGCCTGAGGCCCGGTCAGGTCGGCGGCAGAGCAGGGATTGGAATGTGGGTTGTTTGCTTCGAAGGCTGGGCCCCCCCAGGAATCCCCAGCGGAGTTGAGTTTCTGGGGTTCGTGAGAAGACATCTGAGCGAATCAGAAGTCTGCTTTTCCACACGCACGGCCTGCCTCGGGGCTGAGCGTCGACCTAGGAACCAGGAGGTCAGGGTTTGATTCAGGTCAGGGCACAGGCCCGGGTTTCGGGCTCGATCCCCAGTGGGGGGCGTGCAGGAGGCAGCCGATCCATGATTCTCTCTCATCGTTGATGTTTTTCTCTCTCTCTCCCTCTCCCTCAAATGAATAAAGACATATTTAAAACAGACAAAAAACCACACTCAGTGAAGCCAGGGGGCCAGCAGGACCACTGCAACCCGCCCCCTGATGTGACTGCGTTTGTAGCAGCCGGAGGAGGGGCTGTTTTAGCTTCGCCCCCCAATGGGGAAGCCCTGGCCCAGAGACGTGCAGTAACGAGCTGGTGAGAGGCAGGGCCAGGTTTGAACCCCGTAGTCTCTGTCTGAACGCAGTGCTGTGTGCAGGGGGGCCGGTGTGCAGGGGGGTCGGTGTGCAGGGGGCTCAGGCACAGGAGGGTCGGTGTGCAGGGGGTCGATGTAGGAAATGTGTGGTGCTGCTGTCCCTGGGTGCCACGCGATTCCTCACCTCTCCGCGAGGTTGAGAGGGGTGCCTCCTCACTGGCTGGTCCCTCCTGCAGCTCGGCCCCCTATAAACAGGGTCCTGGTCTGGAATACAGAGCCGGGGGCTGGACGGTGGCCCTGCGCTTCCCCAGGAGGGAGGTGGAGGAAGGAGGTGGCGGTGGGGGGTCCCCCATCCCGGGCACTGGCTGGTATTGGGTGGAGTGGCCGGGTGGTCTAGGGGTGAAGGCTTCTGGGAAGATCCCTGGCACTGGGCCCCACCATGTTGCCCTCCTCTGTGGAGGGGGGACACCGGTCCCTCAGAAACCGGGAGAGGGCAGCTCTCCCCCGAACCACTTGAGGCCACCAAACTCGAGTGGGAGAAACCAAACGCCTGGGCGCCACGGAGGGTCGCAGGGGCGGGGGCTGGGGAGACGCTCACCCCCCCAGCGGGTTCCCGTGTTCGCTGGAGAGGGTC